AATTTAATAAATTTAATAAATGTCATGATATTATAACTAAATTTAATAAATATCATGATATTAAAAAAATGCTTAATTTTGAATTGCTAAATGTTCTGTGAATATTCTTCCTCTCCAAAAATATACCAGAGCCATCCAGAGAGACAGCGTAAGGACCCGATGTAAGTGATGTCATTGGGACGCTCCGCCAAACGCCGGGAGTAGCTATATAAACTTACCATGGCTCTTTTTTTTTGGCAAGGAATGTCCAAATGGAATGTGGGGATGGATGTATCGCACAGTTTGTCTTTTTGACTACTGCTTGGATAGCTCTGCTCCAAGAAGAGTGAGCGAAGAGGGGCACGAACAATAGCATCAATTATTAAATTTTTAATCCAACAACGAGCATTCTTCGTTTCCCCCTTTCATGAGGCAGTGCTGGGAGAATGGGCCGAGTCTTTGCAATTCAGCTATTGTATAAATTCAGACAGGGGGTGTCCTTCGAATCGCAAATGGCTGGTCCAGCTTTCTAAGGCCAGTCCTTGTGCTTCTAAGATTGCCAGCAATTCCGCATTACCGTCTCCGTAGCTGACATAATGCATAACGATCATTTTTATTGCTACTAGTAACGGATGTATTCGAAGCAAATATAATCTTGTTACCTAGGAAGTTTGTGAAATTGCTTTTAATGGGTATTTTTTTTTTTTTTTTGCTTTTACGAAATACACGGACTACTTCTCATATATTTGACTTACTGAAATACTAGGGATGATCAATGCTGCTCCATGGGAGGAAAATGGGCGAGAAAGGGACAAGAAGGGCTAGTGCTAAATTATCTGAAAAGCATGGAAAAAAATTACATACTCTACCCGATATATCTGGTAGGGACGAGAAAAAACTAAACTACCGCAATTCCATCTGCCTCAAAATTATGTCAGGCTGGCAAATTTCGAGGGAAGAAAATGTGAATGTTTACGAAATGATGAAAATTTCAATTAAAAGGGTGTAGAAATTAGCCAAAAAAAAGCCAAAATTTTGATCGGGCAAGGTACAATTTACCAGTATCATACAGCATGCTGCTTGGGGATCTTGAAATTTTCCCAGAAAAGCAATTTTACTAGAATATGAGCTGACGCGTTTCTGGACTTTTCAAATACTTTGAAAAGCATATGCACAATCTAGTAAGGCTCAGCTGGTTCTAGAACATCAAAAAATGCTAAAATTTTGGAGTAGTTACTGTAATCGAGGAGGAAGAGAGGAAGGGGCAATTGAAGACAGCGCTGTATCGGGTATTTGCTGTAAATATGCTCTCTGTCTTTTCTCTGTAATGTTTCAATTTGTGATGATCATCAGAGTTACAGTAGCCAAATCTTACACCCGATACTGTGATGGATAGATTACCTCTACACTTATTGCACTGCTGATACAAGTAGCTATGTGAGCAATTATCGCTGGCACCATTATACAGTTCCACTTGTTAATGTTTCATTCATTGATCAACACAATATGAATCATATTTTTATTTTTTTTACGTTTTTTTAAACTTTTTACCGGTTTTTTACAGTTTTTCTTTTTTTTTTTCACTTGAAAATGATCCGATATTTTTACCGTTTTTGGCTGAATTCTATGTCTGAACAGAGCTTAAGTTTGTTTTCCTGATTATTTTATACTCATGCGGCTAGCACTGCAATTCCCGCTTCATCTCACTGCCAAAGTTAAGCGATCAAAATTTAAGATAATAATTTGCTCGCAAATTATCACTTTGACTTTTGTGACGCTAATAAGGTTTAAAAAAATACTTCAAGCAGTCATTATTTTATTCCGGTTAAAAAACTCTAAAAAAATTAGCTTATAGCAAGTACGTGGTTTGTTAGAGAGATTTTATGGCCAGAGTTCTTCCAGGTACAGTAGCAGCGCGGGATGTTCGTAAACAACAGTTTAAGCTCTCTTTTACTCTTCCGTTTAAAGTGCAGCAATTCACGAGGGGAGGGAAGCAGTTAGTTCATTATGAGTCAAAATCTTCTTGATAACTCTGAAAATTAAATTTTTTTTTTAAGTAAAAGAATAATCGAGGTAACATTAGTGCTGGAGGTAATAATAATGAAA